GGATAATGAAATCCAGATTAAAAATGAAACAGCAATTCTCCTGTAGCCATTTGATATAATACAATTTTAAAGATTTTAGTTTAGTACAGAAGTCTAATATATTATAGAGCCTGTAAATTGTTTTGAACAACTGTATAACAAGTAAAAAGGACTGTGGGCTAAAACTTGATGTTGTATCTGCATTTAAACAATACATTTCAATCGCTCTTAAATTCACACATTAAAATTTTATTTCATAGAAAAAAATTACAAAAATAACAATGTAACAATTCCAAAATATAATTTTCTATTAAACTCTCATTTTCAGGTGCATCATCTTCCTTCAAATTATATACACTTAAAACACTTAAAAATTTATACTTACTTTTCATTTAAACAGGCTTTTTCCTTGTAAGTTGAACATCATAACTTCTTAATTCATTGAAAAGTGTTCTCTTAAGTACTTTAAATATCGTATATCATTTTTATGCAAATAATTACAGTGAGAGGTAGCTTACCTTAGTAGAAAGAGTGATAAAAATTGAGTTCAAACCTGGTTCACCACTTTTAAGCTTTTTATCTTTGGACTTACTCCAAATCAGCACAAGTGAAATAACACTTGCCTTATCATGTTTTGTGAGATCAATAATACAGATAAAGCACTTGGCACTTAGTACACTGTTCAACAAATAACAGCTAATTATAACTTTCTATTTTTCCTTTTTCCAAGACTAGACAATAGTAAAATTTAGCACTGATGAATTATCTACAGCTGTCCCTCAGCATTCACAGAGACTGGATCAAGACCCAGGAGGATATCAACATCCAATGACACAGTATTTGCATGCAGTATTCTCTTGTGTACTTTAAATCATCTCTAGTAAATTGTAATATAAAGTAATGTTATTAAAATAATGTATTAAATAGTTGCTATATTGTATTGTTTAGAGAATAATGATAAGAAAAATGTGGGCAAATGTTTAGTACAGCCTCAATTATTCTTTCTCAAATATTTTCTATTCATGGTTGATTGAGTTTACAGATGTGGAACCTATGGATATAGAGGGCTCACTATATTTCTAACTATGTATTATTTTTTGGTGTCTAATTAAAATTTCCACTAAATTGGTAAGAGTTATAGTTACTTTTCTAGACTAAAACTATAAATTGAATTGTTTTACATTTAATTAGTCTAGAAACCAGAACTTGGTTGTACATTGTTCACATCATCTTTACAAAGAATCATGATCCTATATGTGAATCATAAGAAATGAAAAAAGCCTTAGAGACTATGTAGATGAATGCTTTTAAAATATATGTGTCCCTGGATCAGTGACAATCCATGACAAAGTTTTCATTAGTCCTCTAGCATATAATAAAAAATAACAGAGGTTTTCATGTAACCATAATTTTCAAACAATAAAGTGTATTCAAACTATTCTTTGTATAAATGCAAAAACAAAACAAAACAAACAAACAAAAAAACAAAAAACAAAACCAAAAAAACCCCAAAAAACTATGCTTTATTCTGAAATTATATTCTTTCAATTTTCTGTTTTAAAATTTCCTTATCTCTGTGTGTTTCCCCCTTGGTATACATACTTGAGGACTCCATGTCTTGTCATTTTTTCTTTATGTTTTTAAAACTCTAAGGATTATGGCCTTTAGTTAACAATAATCAGACAAAAGTGCTAGACTGAAAGTTTTAGCAGAAGTCTAGTAATAATAGTGCTAAATTGGCCTCTTCCCCACAGCAAGAATCTCCTCCAAAGAACTCTTGAGAAATGATCATATTTCGATGAGTTCCATTTAAGGAAGAATAATTTTCTACATGCATATGAAAGACAAAACAATATCCATGAAAAGATGATGATGTATCAGATGAATAACTTTTACAATAAACTTTGTGAAAATCATTGTACACTTATTACCTAAAATAGCAAGAAAAGTATGATAATTTTTTTCAAAGTAAAATAATTTCAAAGAATAAATAGGAGTAAAGGGAGAAACAGTCCCCAAGGTAACAAAGGTAGAATAATTCAAAAGAAAATAAAATTAATAAAGTTATAACTTTACCAGAGTGAATTAACAGGATAGTAAAAGAATTCCACTTATCACCATATAGCTTTTCCAAACATCGAAGAGCACAAAGCGTCGATCCTCCATTTCCTTTAAAGTAAATAAAAAGGAAGACTCATTTAATAGAAACCTACTAAAATCAAGATTATAATTTTAAGGATATGATTATTTTAAAGATAAGGATAAGAATATGGCTTTGGCTAAAATTGACAGCAAAAGTACTGGTAAAAAATAAAATAAATACATGCCATAGCAAATAAAACAAATGAATATCAGTAAAGAAACCTAGAAAGCAGCCCTCAGTAACAAAAGATTTGCTAATATTCTCCTTAAAAATAGTAATTAAAAAAATGCTAAATTACACAATGTTTAACACAGGAAGACTGTGACATATAAACACATGGAGTTACAAATCATAAAATTTATTCTATTGATTTGTATTTTAATAAACCCAAGGTGACATAATAAAATTCACAAAAATCTAAAAAGATTTTTAGGACTAAAAACCATCCCAAACATAACAACCACATTAGTTATAACCACCAACTAGGCAAGATCTGTACCTTAGATTCTTATCTATACAATAGAATAATACAAGTACTGACCCCATTGTTGATGGAATTAAGACAACACTGGCTAATAAGAACAAAGATAGAATTATACACATACATGCTGGTGGCTAGGGACTTCAGCTTTAAGTATCATATGGAAAACAGCCTTTAGAAAAACAGCATTCAATTTTATTTGCAAAGGAAAGAAGGAAGGTCAAAGAACAAAGCTGACTTAAATTGGAATTTTCAAGTAAATATTCTATGATACTTAAACCACTAGACTTGTGTTCTTTACATTCTGCAGTGAGTTCTAAAGTGACCATCTATATACAATGAATGTATGTTATGCATTGTATTTTGTGTTCGGCATTGTGTTCCCAATTGGCCATCTATATATGATGTATGTATGTATCTATTTAATTTTTTTTTTCTGATTTGCTTTCTTTATGTAAATTTCTGAAAAACAGTGGGTTTGGGAGGCACGGTAAAAAGTCTACTGATAATGTCCAAAGGAATACTTACTAAATTTCATTAAAACTAATAAAATTCTCTTTCAAATACATTCTGGAAATTTTCCACTATAAGTCACAATGGATTAAGAACAGTGGCTATGCCTTTTATCTTTCTTTAGAAAGGTCAATTTACATTCAAATTTTAAAGTTTGTAAAGGCTATAGATGGAGCTTATGAACTATAAACCCAGAAAAGCTTTTCTTCAATTATTATTCTGCCCAGAATCTTGTATTATAAACCTGTTCATAAAATGCGTACCAATTTTGGCTCCAGCAGGATCAACAAAAACATGATACTGAACTCCAAGGGGTAATTCCTTTCTTTTCAGCTTTTTTGACAGCTGTTGCCTATAAGCAAGTTCCTGCTTTTCATCAGCTGCTGTTATTGCAACGATGTCCCAGAATTCTCCAGCTGCCACAGGTTTGCCTATTTGGAAAAAGCAAGAAAATGATAACAAATATTATCAGAATTCTCTAGCTGTTACAAGTTTGCCTCTCTTAAGGGAAAAGAAAAGATAACTTCCATAATTCTCTTCAAAAATGCATCTTCTGCATTTGAAAATTAGGGAATAATTAGTGTCCTGTTTTTATGATTAAAATAGTTCTAATGAGGACTGCTCAAATTTTTTTTTCCCTTTCAGGGTTTACAGTTTATTTTTAAAGAAATTCTAAAAGATTTAATGTTTCTTGATTAAATGAGGTTCTTTTTATTTTCCAAAGACTATTATTTCAATTCTTAAATAAGAATAATACACAAAGAACCAAATAATTGAGTATCCTGCTTTAAAAATCAGTTCTCATCTATCAGAGCCACTTAGGGCTTGTTGGCTACGAAACATTCAATCCAAGGACCTATTTCTTCAATGTTGCTGTTTATTACTTCATTTTTTTTATTCCGTTAATATGAGTCATGGAAGTTTACATAGGCTATTGGACTATGACACCAGGTACTGTATAACATAAAAGGTCCCAATTTTCTGATGAACTCCTTAAAATACAGACTGCACTTTTGGTAAACAGTTTGAGTCACTTCTTTATCAATAAAAAGGGTTTTTATTAGCTAACAAACAAGACCTGTAAGCTAGGGTTCAATAGCGGATAATATTTTACTGTTATCCAAATACTCGTAGCTTTTAGGCAATCACTGGAAATAAAATACTTTTATTAGATAATTGTACAAGGAATGATAAATGGCACAGGTAGTTTTTAAATACCGAACTTCCACTTAAAAACTTAAGCCATAATTCCTCCATGTTCTATTGCTGCCCTTCTCAGTAAGCATTTGCATTAGAGAACAAATAGGCGAGGGGTAGCAGGTAGGGAGTAAGGGCAAAATCAAATTCACTTATAAGGGTCAAAACAGCGTGCTCCAGATCTCCTCTAATGAACTAAGTAATGCATAACTTCGATTTAGAGCTTCAAAAGTCAGATTAAATTTTTTTCTCCTTCCTCCTCCTTTATTTTGATGTCTACACTACCAGGAATAAAGTTTTAAAAAGGCACTAAGCATAACGTAAAGAGAGGACGGTGACAAACACTCAAAAGAAGTATTTGCCATTCCTGGGTCAGCAACTTAAAGACTGCAGGTGAGAGGCAGAAAGGAAGCGACAATCCTCGGAAGACACCCTCCCTCTTCATTGCCCAGGAGATCTCGGTTCCTCCTTCGGTACCTCTCAGTTTTGAAAATCTCCGCAATTTTCGTTGGGTGGCTTTTCTCAGAGTTACGTCAAGAGGGACCCTAGCGCTGGCCATGGCCCCACCTTTCCAGAGCCCGCGCAGCACAGCACGCATGCGCGGTGGGACGCCACTCATTCCCTGACCCGGTTACCGCTGCCCCGCCCCCTCCATGCGTCCCTCACGTAATTACGCCAGGAGTGCTTTCGTCTCCACCCGGAAGGCGTTGATGGGCTGAGCTGGATCTTTGCCGGTTTCCTTAGCAACGGTCTCTGTAGCAGATGGCCGGCTAGCAATTTGTTGGACTGTGCAGGATCTGGGCCACTTTTCCCCAGCTCATAAGTTCTTACGGCCCAGTTGACCCGGTGAGTAGTTCAGGTTGGATGACACAGTTGTTGGAACCAACCCGCTAAAGAGAAAACGACGTGCAACCCAGATTCCCACACTCTCGCCCGTGTGATTAGTCCTACCTGGAGGTTTGTTTTAGTCAGAAGCATTTCCCTAACATCTTGTCAGATAAATTCAACCCCCGAGTCATCTGGAGCCATCTGTCCCCTACTCCGGGGCCATACAATAGCTGAGTAAAGTCAGTATTCTCTTCAGGAACTGTAGGTTTGTGGCTTCTTTGCGTTTGCAGCTCCTAAAAGAGTGAGCCACACACACCACCACTGTTTTTTGAGTTGGCTTCCCGGGTACACATGCCTGTCTCCCAGATGTGGTCTTTGAAGTTGTATAAAATTCAGGCCTCTGATTTGTTATTTATTTCTTTATTTTGCGCTTCGGTGTTCTTTTGTATGTGTAAATTAATTTAGAACATTTGGTAACATTACTGGGGATAAGTCAGCCTTAGATGTATTTTTGTTGATTATATATTTCTTTTGTGAAACACCAAGTTTATGGTGAGCTCTACAGATTAAGCTCTTCATCTTTATACATAAGAAAACTGAATCAGGGAATAATGACTTAGTCAAGGTATGAAAATTAGTAAATAACAAGATTTGAGAACTATATTTCAATCCCAAACCCAGAATTTGTGGCACTCTACCATATGTTTTGATTTATTTGAGAAGCCTCTCCACTAAAGTCTTCATTAGGAGCTTAGGCAACCAAGGCCCTTGAAACTTACATAGATTGTAAGGTAACTTAGCTTTTCTTCTAAAGGTGGTGGACCTTGATATATAATTCTGTACTTAATAGTGAAAGCATTTGGGTAAAAGGGCATATTACTGTTGTTTCTGTTTTGTTTTGTGATGCTGGAGATTGAACGCAGAGCCTTGCTTATATTAAGCAAGTGCACTAACACTGAGCTACAATCCCAGTCTCTCTTTCAGTTTTGTCTTTTAAAACTTTTCTTTTTGTTTATAAAAACTACATTCTTTTTGAAGGACATATAGAAAATACAGATTGACTGAATTGAGAATGAGCAGTACAGAAAGTAGCAAGAGATAGGTCAAAAAGAGAAAGGCTATAGAAAGGATTTTGTTTTTTACTCCTGAGTAAAACAAACTATTCCAGAGTTTTTATGTGATTTGCCTTATGTTTAAAATGATCACTCAGAACTGTGAAAATAAATTATAGTGGGGGATCAATAAAGAAAGAAGCAGGAAGATTTGTTTGGAGGTAACTGGAATAATGCATAAAAGTGATAGTTAGCCAAGATGGTAAAAGTGACGATGGTGAGAAATTGGTCAGATTCTGGATAAATTTTGAAGGCAAAACCAATAAAATTTATTGATAGAATGGGTGTGGAGTATTAGAGAGTGAAGTAAAAAATGACTGCCTGAGGTTGGAGTGGTCATCAGTTGAGATGGAGAAAGTTAAGGATGGAGAAGCTTGGTTGGGTAGAGAACATAATTTGATTTTGGACATGTGGAATAAACATATATGCCTATGTAGTAGAAGTTTGTTTATGTCTGTGTGCACCATACATGTGAACATGGAATTGAGGAGAGACGTTTGCGCTGGAGTTACAGTTTATGAGTTGGATTGAGCTCCTAAGGAAATTAATAGGTCCTACATATTCAGGTACTGTACATTTTAATAAGGTGAAGTGAACAATAAAAGAGTAACCAAAAAAAATTCAGAGTGTAAAGAACTATAATAATAATACTTTGTCAGAGTATAAATTGAGCATTTCTTGGCTCTATGAAGGGTGTCATAGAAATAGAATTATTTATTCCAAATATGACTACATTGTTCACATAAAATATGCTGGAAGTGAATATGCCACATTATGAGCTATGGTTTTTCTGCTCTTGTGTTTTTTTTTTTTATTTTTATCACATTTCATTAAATTTTAAGTAATTTTTTAAAAAATTCAGTATACTGAGTGGTAGCAAATGTCTTTGGCTGTAATTATAGTAAGTAAAAAGTTTTAAGTCTATATTCAATATAATCACACAGTGTGATATAACTGTTTAAGCAGTTAAACTATCAGAGCATTATTATTTTACCTGAGCATTTACCACAAAGAATGAACAAGGTATTTGCCAGAGTGTTATTTTACCAGTGTACATTATACCAATCCAGCTAAATAGTAAGCTTATTAATTATGCCAAATCAAACACTGGAAACAATCTTGGTCTTAGATCCCATATTTTAATAAAGACATTGAGCAAATTAGAGTATAATCAATTGAAAAATAATGTTCTGTGAAGGCATTTGTGCCTCTCTTGGAGGAGATTATCTGAAGAGTTGCTACAGAGAGTGAGATACATAAAAAAAAAAAAAAAAAAAAACAACAACACAGCTTTCTTAAGTTATACTTTTATGCCATTAATTTAATCTGATTTAAGTGAACAATTTAATATTTTTTTATTTATAGCTAATGCTAGTTAGATTTTTTAAAATTACTATGGGCATAAATATGACTGTTGAATTGGAGTTTTAGGGAAGCATATTTTAATCCCCCTTTCCTATTCATATGAAGAAGTTGAAACCAAATGAAGAGGGTCATGGCTCCTGAGCCATGGAGTTCATGGTGCATGACATAGACAGGCCATGGTACAGCTCTGCTTGCTACCAGTACTTTTACTTATCTAACTATTGCTTCCTTCTACTTTTCATGACATGCAGCAATAGCAACTCTTTTTATAGTTATTTTTACTTGAATTTGTTTACTCAGCTATCCTTTTTGAACTTTATTTCTTAAATATTTTTCCCCAATGAACCCTCTTGAAGGAACTCTCATTTCCTCTTACCTTGTGAAGAGGAGAAAGAAAAATTCTTTCAGAGAAGAATTCTCCACCTTCCTCCTGCTTCCAAACTTCTATTTTTACTTTCTTCCTTAGTTTTTTTTGTAGACTTCAAATGAAATGTCCAGGTATTATCCAGATATTATAGTGTGCATTTATTAACATGAGGTTTGGGGTTTCTTTTTTGTTTGTTTTTTTGATGAGGAGATAGAATTAAACTAGTAAAGAAATAGATTTCAATTAGTTTAGTACAATGTTTATTGCTTTTAATAGAAACATACTAGTGGTCCAACTTTAGGAGATAAAAATATGTTTTATGAATGCTAATCAACTACTTTTGCTTTTGTAGTCTTGCAAGAGTAGAATAAAAACAAAATCTTCAGAGATAATAAAGTGCTTTTGTTATAAGTCCATAGATTTTGGAGTGATTTGTTACACTGCATAAATAACTGAAAAGTACATGTTTTTAAAAATTTTTGCAAGAGATTGAATATTGTTTTTGAGTTCAAAATAAAGAATTCAAGGAATTAACATAGATTTCTACCGAAGTGAGAGTTTATTCTTTGTACTTAGTAGTCTCTCACACATTCTCACCTGAAAGTTTTCTTTTTCTCTGAGGGAAAGAAAAGATGGCCAGATATATCCATGTATACTAATAGTATTGAAGTCTGACTTAGAACTTTAGGTCTTATATTAAAATTTTTTACATGTTAGCTAAACAGAACAAGTTTCCTGTTCTCAGAGTACATATAATTTAATGGGAAAGAGGACATTTAAATATCTTAAATTCGAGATGTGGGAATGGAACAGAGATTTATATCATATAAAAGTAAATCTTCATCATATAAAAGGCAATGATTTTGCACAGAAACATAATAAAAATTAAAATGGCTGCATAATTATAAAAAAGGGAAAAAAATTTATTCTGTCCTTAAGAGATCTTACTGACAACAGTAACTTGCCCTATAGACTCTTGGGAGGAACTGAATCCACCATAGGGAGGGAACTATTTGCCAGAATCTAACACTGCCTTGCAAGGTTTGAGCAACACCAGCTTGGCCAGTTTACTTTTGACCCGACATTCAGTAGACTTAGAAAATTTAAACATTGCCCTTATTTGCCTCATTTTCCAAACCTTGGACCTGAAAAAAGCTGAAGTCCATTTTCCTTCAAAAGAATACTGAGACTATGATCCCAATTAACAAATTTTTCCATACCAGGCTAAAACTGTCCTCTCTTTTATCTTAACCTTTTTTATATTTTCTCAGTTTGTAAGAGGATTGCACCAAGGCAGAGAGGTGTGACATCCTGTAATGACAGAGTTCAACTATTTCAATAGCTAAGATTCAGTGTTGTTAATTGTTGGGAATTTTAACAATTGGAAAAATAGATAAAAACTAATATTTAAATAGTGCTTATTTTTGTTTACCACGTAGATAATTCAGTATTTTCCCCCCCAGTGTATTATTTTAAAACATTTTTTAAGAATTAAGAAATTTAGTTTTATTTTCATAAAAAAAATCCTTTTAAGCTGTGAACCTGAGTCTGCTTAATCATACTAGTATTTAGTTCTTACTTTTTTGATTATAATAGAAACATTTTTGATTAAAGCTAAAAGTAGACAGTTATACAAAATGGAAAGAAAGGGCACTGAATTAAGGAATATGCTGATTATCTCAAATTTAGATTGAATAGCCCCTTAATCACGCTGGTTTTTAATTCTTCCAGATTTTATTTTTACTTACAGTAGACATCTTTTTGATGAAAGGTTAAAAAAAGTTGTATGAGTGAAAATAAAGGAATTGTATTACATAATATAAAAATTACCTGAAATTCAGATTTAACTCAATAATGCTTGTCTTTGTCAGACTATATGTTTTATTGGCAAGAAGTTTTCGAGTGAGTGAAGAATGCCAATCAAATTAGTTCCCTTACCATACATTCATTCTAATGTAGAAAATGTGAACATATTTAACATTTTGGTGGGGAGGGTACAACATTTTGAGGAGTATTATAATTGTATCAGTAAACTTCCCAAAGCTAGTGAGTTTATTCATCTAATAGATACATTTGAATGTTTCACATAATTGCAGGAACTTCTCATTTCATAAAATTATCTAGAATGTCTGAGATCAGTATAGAAAACAGAAAAGAATTCAGCTTTTGAATAATGCCAGTAGAAGATCATTGACATATTCAGATGACATACAGACATCATTCATTCAGAAAATTTAGTGAAGTGAATCAATGAAAATTGTATTAATAGAATTGCTGTAGTATAATATTAATAAAACAAGATACAGATAAACCAATTTTGATAGAAGACAACTTAAAATAAAAAAAAATTCATTGCTAAGTAATGAGCCTACAGACATTAATAACTATCCTTAGTTGATATCACTGTTTAGAATGTTTGGAAATAAATGTCAGGGTAAATATTATACCTTGTAGAAATAAGCATCAAAATAGAGTATTAGAGATGTAATGATCTGTGTGAGAAATAAACATTAACTATATAATTTTGTGTATGTGTATATATTGTTGGGATGCAGTAATGAAAAGTATAAAATCACTTTCATCCTTATGGGAGGAAATAGGATCTCTAATACTTCATGGTAGATGGGTGTTAATTGTCCAAAAGTTTTTTTTTAAATGAATTTTGGAGGTGAAATATAAAAGAACAATTAAGAAAATGAAAAGGAAAAATGTAGTCTGGGAAAAAAATTTTGCAAAACGTGTTTGATAAGGGGCTGGCTTCCTAAATAATGCAAGAAATTTAAACTCAAGTATAAAAAATCAATACAGTCAAAAAATGGACAAAAGATATTGATATCTCACAGAAATCAGATAGCAAATAAGCATATAGAAAGATGTTCAAGATCATATGTCCATAGTAATTGCAAATTAGAACAGTGAGATACCAGTACACCTATTAGAATGAACAGAATACAAAATACTGACACCAAATATTGGTGAGGATGTGGGGCAATTAATTCCTCTTATTCCTTACATAGGGAGATGCAAACTAGGGCAATGACTTTGAGAAACAGAGACATTTTCTCATAAAATAAAACATACTATATGATCTAATATGTAAACTGCTGATATTAACCCAAATGATTTGAAAACTAATGTTCACACAAAAACCTAAACACAAATCCTTATAGAAACTTATTCATCATTATTCAAACTTGGAACCCAACAAAGTATCTTCAGTACGTGAATGGATTAATAAACCATTATACATTCAGTGCTTTAAGAATGAACATTTAGAAAAAAAAGATATTTAGGAAACTTAAATGCACATTACTAAGTGAAAGAGGCCCTACTGTATATCTACAACAATATGACATTCTGGAAAGTCAGAACTATGGAGACATTAAAAAGATCAGTGGTTGTAAGGGGCTTGAGAGGAGGGAAGGAGGTGAAGTCCAGGGGACTTCTATGGTATGAAATAATAACAATTCTACATGATACAATAATGATGAACACATGTTACTATACATTTGTTGATACCCATAGACATGTAGCAAAGAACAGTGAAGTCCAAAATATGGACTTTAGTTAATAATAATGTACTAACATTGGCTCATTCATTTTAAGAAATGTGTCACACTAATGCAATATATTAATAATAGAGAACTACAGAGGTTGGGGGTTAATGAGAGCGTATATAGGAACTCTGTACCTCTTACTTATTTTTTTCTGTTGACATAAAATAGGTCCCACCTTCAAAAAAAGTTTTTTTAAGTCACACATGATCATAAAATAAACAACACACTTCTTTGGTATGTGATTCTTACTTTGCAGATTTCTTGGAGAATAGATATTGCTTTCAAAAAGTGGATGCTATAGATGAAATTTTTGAGCACCCCATTGTCTTATTTTGAAACATGCTGATATGTCCCTTATATAGTCTCTCTTAAGCTCTTGTCATAAACTGTTCTGGAGCTAGCATATTTTCAGATGACAATAGAAAAGTAGTACTTTGAAAGGAGACTTTGAGGAAGGACTTCCTAACAATATTTTCGGTTTAGAAAAAGAGTGTAAACGATAAAGATGCATTGTATATATTGCCTTACATTTCAGTGCCTCTAGAACTTGTGCCTATTTGTGCCGTTTTGCTCTTTGATTTTGGAAGGCTGGTTAACTTTTAGTTTAGATTGAACTTTCTCAAGATATCCATGAATTGCCTGCTTAAATGCATTGCTGCACCCTTAACCCAGAGATTCTGATACATAGATATAAAGGTGGGGCTCAGAAATTTCTCATCCTTTTAATTAATTACATAGATGATGCTTGAGAATTGCAGGGTTATAGGTTTAGCCCTTAGGGGATTAAAAAAATAGCCAATGTCTTGTTATACTATGAGTTTATCTGGAATTTCACATTCTCATTTGAATTTTTGTTAACTTGAGTTTACCTGCACAGCATAAAAACTGATTCCTTTAGTAGGGAAGGTGGTTTATTGTGTGAGAAGCCCAGATAGACTACTTGTGCTTATACATTCTTTTCTAAACTATCACTAATTGACTACCTTTTATGAAAACTAAAATTACTCATACTAAGGGTAAATTCATATGTATGAGATATATCATATAAGATTATACAATAAAGTATTGATTCAAAAGTTTCAGATAAATTTAATTAGTCAAATTTTAAAACTTTTAGAATTCTGAATCCTAATTGTCTAATTGAATTGAACATAAAAATCTATAATGTGATGGTAAGTTTTTTCTTTAAAATATAAATATTGTTGATACCAGTTGAAAATTGTTGTTACTCTTTATTTTCTTCTGACTGCATTTTTCAGCCACTGTACAGATTATCATTCTCCTAACTTGTTAAATATTTAGTGATTTTATTTTTATTTAACATTGTTAAACCAAAATAATTATACTAGCTATGTTAAGACACAATTTTGTTTTTTGTTACTTGTCTGGTCTAGAAGTGACATCTTTATTAATTCTACGTTCTCCATTCTATGAAAAAGAATATTTTTCTTCCTTTCACTGATTTGTTTTTGATAAATACAATTATATCTTTATCAGTAGTAATTAGATATTTAAAATACTTCAGGATCAAATATTCTATGGGAATTAGATACTCCTTTTTAAAATTTTTATCTTTTATACTCATATTAATTCTCATTATATCTTAGTAAGTATTCTATTTTGTTTTCAGGTAGATTTTTAAAAGTTGAAAAATTTTCCATCTTTTCCAGATGTTTCATGGAACAATCACAAAAGAGCTAACCAGTCATGAAGAATGGAGTCACTATAATGAAAATATAATCGAAGATCAAAAAGATTTTGTTTTTGTGAAGTTCAGTGGACTTTATTTAAAATCTATGGAATATTTGCAATCTTATATCTCTCTTAAAGTATGCGTTTTCTCAAATAATTTTATTACAGATATTCATCCACTTCAAAATTGTATAAAATTAATGAAACTTGACCTTCATGGAAATCAGGTAAGCAATAGTCATTTAAGATGTCTGAATATAAATGAAATTTATATGTAATGAACTTATGTTATCTACCCACAATATTATTTTCAGATAATCTGTTATCTAAAATATATATATAAAAATTGAAAATAAATTTCAAAAATGTGTATTAATACAAAATTAAAAGTACAATATTTTTAAAAATAAAGCACATAAACAATGCATGATTTGGTATAGTTTATTTCTTAAATTTATAATCCAGATTAAGAGTACTTCTTGACTCCAATTCTTTATAGAAGAAAAGTATTTTTGAAAATTTAGAGTCAGCTTTTACCAAGTAATTTTCATTGAATCAAATATATATGGTTATGCATTTAATTATAACAATAACAATAGTTTATTACAAATACTCAGTGTATTATGTTGTTTTCCCAGAAATCATTTAGATACTTGGAAATATTTATCTTATTATTAATTAGAAACTTGCAAGATAGTTAATTTTAGAAGATGTTTAATATTTTGGTATTTTTCCATGTTATGTTTAGAAAAGTAGTATTTGAGCTAAATTTACTCATGATAATATTTCAGATCAAGAATCTACCAGATACGAAATTTTGGAGTGGATTAAAGTACCTAAAACTCCTCTATCTTCATGACAATGCCTTTGCAAAGTTAAAGAATTTATGTGTATTGTCTGCCTGTCCAAGCCTCATTGCTCTCACTCTGTTTGATTGTCCGGTAAGCCTTAAGAAAGGATATAGACATGTTCTTGTTAACAGTATATGGCCTCTCAAAGCACTGGATCATCATGTGATTTCTGATGAAGAAATAATTCAGAATTGGCAACTTCCTGAAAGATTCAAAGCATATAACCAGCGACTTTTCCTCAATTTTTGCGCTGCTTTGAAAAAGGTAATTGGCTTCATTAGGATTTCATTAGAAATGATTTTTTATTTTTTAAAGAAGTAGAATTTTAGCTTCTAAATTCTACACTTGAATTTTATAAACGTTTTAGTAGTTTTATCATTTTTATATAATAAATCAATGAATGTATTAGTAATGGCTTTCTATCTGAGCATTCATAAAGACTCATATGCTTCGTGTATGAAGACATTGATCCTAAAATCATGGAGTTGTAGAAAAATATATTTTTGCTTTTTAATTGAAAATAGAGCTCTGATTCATTTTTGTTTGGTATATAAATGACTCCTTTGAGAAATATTTGGTATTTTTAGAATGCTATAAAGTACAATTTAAATTATTTTTGGAAAAGCAAAAATATTCATTCTTAAACAATTAATTTTGTGACATTAGCATAATCAAACCATCATTATATGTTGATTTGTAAAATATTGAAGAAATGATTAGAAAAACTTGATTCCTAGAATCTTTATGATGCTGGATATACAAAAAATAAAATGTTCTTCATAGAATATCAATGTTAGAGCAAATAAATAAAAGTTCAAAAGAAGGGATTAACTCTGCAGCTATTAGAAAAAAATCTGAAATACAGTAAGTAAACAAGTATGTTGCAAAGCAGTGTTTAATTCTGATGTTCATATATATAGTCATGCATCATTTAACAATGGGAGTATGTTTTGAGTAATGTTACAATGCCTATATGTTATTAGACAATTTTGTTATTGTCTAAACATCATAGGTGTACTTCTGTGAACTAAGATAGCTATGACATCATTAAGTGATATAATCTTATGATACCATGACTGCATATGTAGTCTGTCATTCATGAAATGTCATTATGTGGTACATGATTGAATATGCACAGACATTTTGAGGAAGAATAGAAAATTATTTTGAACAATGATTAAAAGTAAAAAGGTATGTATAAATATTAAACAGTAATTATGTATAAGTAGATACAATTCTTTAAAAATTATGAATATAGTAATGATTTTGTAATATTAGTTTTAAAAACTGGGTTTTTCATAATAATTTTCTTAGTCTTTTATTTTTTTTTTTTGGTACTGGGGATTGAACTCAGGGGCACTCAACCACTGACCCACCTCCCTAGCCCTATTTTGTATTTTATGTACTAAGCATCACTGAGATGCTTAGTGCCTTACTGTTGCTGAGGCTGGCTTTGAACTCTCAAATCTCCTATTTCAGCTTCTCAAGCTGCTGGGATTACAGGTGTGCAACACCCCAACTGTCATAATAATTTTGTAATAATGATTAAAAATATTTAAAAAAATGAGGGAGTATTTAAGTTTGGTATATTAATCTGGACTCTTAAGGAAGAATTTTATTTAGGTATTTCATTTCTGATATAATCAAAGATAGAACCATACACGACCCTATTAAAGACAATCAAAATAAATAAGGACCACGTGACATTTAAGGAAGTGATGAAAAGTTTGGTAAGTTGGATAAAATACAGAAGAGTTTAGATTTCTTAGTGAATATAATGAAGATCAATTGAAGTTATTTGAGTAAGAAAATAGAATGGTTCTCTCATTGTATGTGCTCATAAACCAATGATATTACCAAAGTTAAAAGGCAATTATTCAATATTTTGGTAGCAGATTAAAGAAGATGAGGGTAAAAAACAAATGACAGCAGGGAGATTAGTTATTCTGACAGGAAGGGATGTTACAGGGTTTATAGAGCAGACTACAATGTCAACAAAAATAATATAAAAGTAAAGGACAGATGCTTTCATAAATGATATCACAATTTGATGAGATATTTTTAATAAATTGATGTGGGAGGAGAAGAAGAAGAAGAAATAAGGAAATATACCTCTAAAATTTTGAAACTTTATAACTGGGACAAAAAATAATTTAGTGGATTGGACAGCATTTTCAAAGTTATAGTAGAAAGATGAATTTGTTCTAGGTTTTTTTTTTTGTGTGTGTGTGTGTGTGTGAAGGTATATATACTAAGTATTAGAAAAAACAAAGAACTAAAATTTAGAAATAGTGTTCTGCGCTTGGTGTAAGTCCAGAGGTGTCAGTCCAGTAGTCATTTGCTTGAAGGCAAAGTTGAAACCAAGCTCTTTCAGGAAAATATAGGGATCAATGAAGACTGAGAACTAAGAGCAAGCCCTCAGGCTCAATTTGTGTATAGAAAGCAGAGAAACCAATGAGAATAAAAGGGAGTAAAAGGAGAGATATGGGCATTATTATCACTTAAGCCAAGGGGAAAAAAGTGGATAAAAACTGAAGAAAGTTTCTAAAGGGTCAAAGAAATTTAGCACTGAAAGAAATGTATGTTGATGGTGAAGAATTTTTTTTTAATCATTGGAATTTCAGTAGTTTTCAGATGCAAGTATGAAATTGTAATGAGTAACTGATTGCCAATTATAAAATATTTTCTCTAAAAATTTTGGGCAAAGGAAATATAAAGCCTTAATTGCAGGAAATAGAATAAATAGAAGATATTTTTTAAAAATGAGGTGATACTAAGTTCAACTTATATTTAATCTGCTGAAAATATTTTAAGAAGATAAAGAGTGAAAATTTTATAATGAGGGGAAAAATGAAGAAAACCACTACTAAAAACGTATGAATGCAAAACAACACATACACAACAAACCTTAAAGTGCTGTCAGAATTTTTTTTGAGTTATAGAGATTTAAAAAACTATTTTAATAACATTTTGTTACTTTATGAATCAGTTTGTTGATTCTGCTGTAAGCAATGTTCTTTTGGTTATTCTTTGATAATTGAAAAATTTATAGCACTATTCATAAATTTTGAGAAGGAACAAATGTAAATCTATTAGGATAGATATTTATTCAGCAATATTTTAAATATAATATTTCATTGTACTTATTAATGAACACAGAATATTATGAAAACTGAAAATAATCATCCTATAAGTGTTCACATAATGATTTCTCTAAGAATTACCACTCTTTTTTTTTAGTAAATCATGGATGTAGAAATTCAAGAAGAATGTTTATTTTGAAAGAAACCAATTGAATAATGTAATTATTGCTTATACCTTATAGAACATTAAAAACTATTGAGAAGGGTCTTGTTTATCCCTAATTGTGAGGTAAAATGATTTCTTGTCCTTTTTTTGTGGGTATAGTTGGATAATACTTTTGTTTTAAAGATAAGAATATAGATGATTATATGAAATAAAAGTAATTTTAGAAATTTAAAGTGCTTATTTATCTAAAAACTTACGATAGAGAAATATATATTTATATATTAATCTATATAATATTTTTAAAATATGGAGTGATCTGGGAAATAGCCAATTTTATCAATTGGGATCACATTTTGTCTGCATGTAATAAAAGAACAACTAATCAAGGATTATATTTTGAATCATATAATATGTTAAAGGATTATATTTTTAATCATATAATATGTATTTCAAGGACAGGCAGTCCTATGTGTAGTTAATTGTTTAAGAAATCGTAAAGAAACATAGCTTAGTCTATCCTCCTCCTCTGCTATCTTAGCTAGTGGACATTTACTCTGATGGGCAAGAGATTCTTCACATCCTGCCTGGCATGTGGCAGAAAGAAGGGGAAGGGTGAGATCAGAAAGCACATATCAGCCAAGTTTGTCACTTTGTATCAGGGAAACAATAATTCCTATGTTTTTTCTGATAAAATTCCACTACTGAAAGTGACTCTCATGGCTACAACTTAATTGAAGGGAATTTGTTACAATGAGTATTTTTAAATACAAACCTTCACTTTTAAAAAAAAACTGATATTCTATTAATGAGGAAATAAAGGATAATAGATTCTTGGAAGGCAGCTAACAATTCCCATCATATAGAGAAATAGAAATTTATAATGATATTTTAGGAATGGTAATTTAAGGTAGAATGGTAATTTAAGCAGTTGGTATTCATTCGCTTTTATTTTCAATGAAAATATCAACATAAAGATGCATATGCATGAAGTTACAAAACAAATATTTAAATGCCAACTCATAATTCATTTTTTACAGTGAGATATTAAATAATATTTTTAAAATTTTAAATGTTTTTAATTTCTAAAAAATTAGTGAAGATCAAAAAATAGTCTGTATGAAAATATGTCAAAAGTAAGACTATTTTTACAAAATTACATCTTTACATCTATGGATGTAACCTGAATTACCAAAAAGTAAATGAATTATAAATTTTATAAATCAATGTAAAAGCCTTAATCAAGATGATTTTTAACAAGATTGAGTTTGAAAAAAAAAAGTAATATATAAACGATAAATGTAAAATTCTATAGAACAAAACAAAGGACTTAACAGTGGTCTCAAACCATGTAGAATTTAACACACAAAATACGAGATTGCAGGGCTGGGGATGTGGCTCAAGTGGTAGCGTGCTCGACTGGCATTCGTGTGGCCCGGGTTAGATCCTCAGCATCACATACAAAAAAACCACAGATGTTGTGTCTGCCAAAAACTGAAAAATAAATATTGGAATTCTCTCTCTCTCTTTAAAAAAAAAAAATTAAAAAAAAAAATACGAGATTGCATAAAGAGGATCTCTTTCAAATGACATAAAAGAGTAACAGCCACAATAAAGCTATTTCCATTCTGAGTAATGTACAAAATAGAATTATGCAACTACATATATATCATAAATGACAATAGAGGGAGTACATAATACTTTATCTCAGCATTGCTAATCATAAGGAAATGCAGATAAAACAATTATGTCACCTCATATCTCTAATTATAACTACTATTAAATATATAAATGTTTGAGAAATTGAGATTTTGTACATTGTTTGTGGAAATATAAAGAAGTAAGAGTTATTATAGAAAACATCATGGAAGTTTCTTAGCAAAGTAAAACTATTGGCACCACATCATCCCTTTTCTGAGTATATATCCAAAAATGTTGAAATCAGGATCTCAAAGGAATATTTTTACTCCTATGTTTATACAGTATTATTTTCAAAACTATAATATGGAAACCACCAAAATGTCCATGGAAAGACAATTGCATAAAGAAAGACTTGTCAGACAATTATTATTCAGCCTTTAAAAGGAAATGTTTTTGTTTTTGATGACAAGAGTAGATCTGAAAGACATCATATTACATGAAATAATTCAGTCACAGAAGATCAAGTACCGTATAATGCTCTTATTTGAAGCATTTGAAGTCGTACATATAGAAATAGATAATAGAACACACTAGAAGTAGATAATAAATGTGTACTAGGGATTTATGGGGGAGGGTTTGGGAGCTTTAATTAATGTTATAAATTTTTAATTATATAGCATGAGTAGATTCTTGAGAACTCTTGTATAACATAGTGCCTATAGATTCCAATAATGTGTTGTGTACTTAAGAGGATAAATCTCATGTTAAGGGTTTGTTGTTCTCTTTGCTTTGTTAACACAAGCAAACAAAAGCAAAGAGAACAAATAAACAAAAACAAAGCATAGTAACACAAGGGAATTTGGGTGAGGGAGAATTTGTTTATTCTTTTTATTGAGATTGTAACACAAATTTATACAGATGTGCAAACTCACCAAATTGTATACCTTATTTATGTTTACTTTTCGGGGTTACCAGTTATGCCTCAAAAACCCCACTAAGAGAAAACAGTATGTATATATTAATATAAATGAAATTCTAAAATTGTTTAAGGGGCAGAGAAAATTAGGACTAAGAAAACAAAGAAAAAAGTAGAACAATCAAGGGAAAACAAGGCAGGCTTAAGCACTAATTTGTCAATAACTATGTTGCAGATTAAATTAATGGTCTAAAAAACAGTGATTATAAGATTGGCAGAGTGAAATTAAAAATATGACTCAATTATATGCTGTCTACAAGAAATATAATCACAAAGGCAGGTGGAAAATAAAATGATGGTGAAAGACATATTATTAAAAATTAAAGGAAAGTAGAAATGAATGGTATCTTAATATCTGATGATCTAGACTTTAGAGCAAAGAAAATTACCAGAGGTATGGAGGAACATTATGTAATGATAAGAGTTTCAACCCACAAAGACCTCCATTCTAAATATAAATGTATTATTCAACTAGGCTACAAAATATGTGAACAAAAAACTTATAAAATTGAAATGAGAAATTAATTTTTACAGTTGGAGCTATCAACACTCCTTTTTCAAGAATCAGTGAAATTGGTCAGGACAACTAGACATAATATTAGATATATAAAAGCTGGGCGAGCAACCCCATTAGCCAACAGGATCTAATTGATATATTGTGCTACCTCTAACAATGGCAAAATATACATTTCTCTTCAAGTGCTCAAGTAATTCCATGTTTCTATAAAACAGATTTTAACAAGCTTAGAAGAATTTAAATCATACAAAGTGTGTGCAGTGGTGACAGAGATGAAAGGAAAATATTCAAACACTTGGAAACAAAACAACACACTTGTAAATATATTGATTAAAGAAAAAGTCTTAAAGAATTAAAGCATAACTGGAAGAAAATATAAACATTAAATATTATAAAATTTGTGGGACATAGCTAAAGCAATTCTGAGATGAAAATTTATAACACTAATATAGAAAAGAAGGACTACTTCAAATCTTCAAATCAATGATCTACCCCACAAAAGAACTAGAAGAACAAGGGAGAAATAGATAGCAATAAAATAATCATGGTGGTTTTCAATATCTCACGTTCATCAATGGACAGATAAATCAGAAAATTTGTAGGTAAATAATGATATTGAAAAGTACTTAAGAGAAGAATGGACCCAACGGACATACAGATCTTTACATCTAGCAGCAGTAGAATACACATTCTTCTTTTCCTGCACGTGGAACATTCCCTGGGATAGAATATATCAGGCCACAAAACTAATCTTAACATAGCTTAGAAGTTCTAAATCATATCAAGTATCATTTTTGTCACAGTGAAACTAGAAATCAATAATAGAAGAATTTTTTTAGAAATTCACAAATATATAAATTAAACATTTTTGAATAACCAATTGATCAAAAAAGAAGTCAAAATAAAATTTAAAACTGTCTTGAGACAAATGACAATAGAAACACAACATACACAACATATGATACAGCAAAAGCAGTTCAAAGAGAAAATTTATAGCAGTAAATACCTACATTAGAAAAGAAGACAGATGCTGGGTGTGGTGGTGCACTCCTGTAATCCCAGCAGCCTGGGAGGCTGAGTTCAAAGCCTCAGTAATGACAAGGCCCTAAGCAACCCAGTGAGATCTTGTCTCTAAATACAAAGTAGGGCTGGGAATGTGGCTTAGTGTTCGAGTGCCCCTGAATTCAATTCCCAGTACAGAAGGAGAAGGAGAAGGGGAAGAAGAAAGACTACCAATAAGAGAAGAGTAATAAATCAGAGAACAAAAAAGCCACAGGGGAAAAAAAAATCAATGACATTAAGAGTTGCTTTGAAAAATACAAACAGATCAACAAAACTACCTAGATAAAGAAAAAATTAGAATATTCAAACATAAAATAGGGAATCAAAATGGAGGCATTACAAAGAAGCTCCAGAAGCAAAAAAGATTGTACAGGACTATTATGAACGATTGTTTGCCAACTAACTTGCTAATCCAGTGGGTTGTGTGTATATTTTTAGAAAATTGATTGAATCAGGAAGAAATAACCTGAATAGGCCAATAATGAACAAAGAGATTCAAGAATGTTTTAGTCAGCTTTCTTCACACTGTATACAAAAGATCTGACAAGAACAATTTTAAAGGGGGAAAAGTTTTATTTGGTGCTCACAGTTTCAGAGGTCTCAGTCCACAGATAGCTGACTCCATTCCTCAGGGTTAGAGGTGAGGCAAGACATCATAGTGGAAGAGTGTGGTGGAGGAAACTGGCTCAGAACATCACACCAAAGGAGGGAGAGGGAGAGGAAGAAGGGTGGGGAGAAGTATGAGCTCATGCTCTCTCCTTTCCACAGACAAAATATAAATTCCAAAGGCATGCCCCGATGACCCACCTCCTCCATCCACACCCTACCTGCCTACAGTTACCACCCAGTTAATCCCTATCAGGACATTAATGCATTGATTAGGTCAAGGCTATCATACCCTGATTGATTTACTTCTAAACTTTCTTATGTTGTCTTAAACATGAACTTTTGGGAGACATCTAGTATCTAACCATATTAAAGAGGTACTGAAAAACCTCCCAACAAAGAATATAGTTCAGGACCAAATGCTTCAATCCTGA